CAATGGAAACTACGACATAATTTCTTGTCATCACAAAGCTAAAAGGAAAATCTTGATATTATTCCACAAATATATTATTACAAAGCTTGAACCACAGGCTAGAAAGGTTAGCAGATCTGTAGTAGAGTGCAAAAATGATACAGAAGAGAAATGCTTGGGAAGGCAAGAGTACTTCCAAATTCAAAGGTCACAAATTGTATCTGTTCAAGAGGAAAATGCAAATACCTAGACTTCAACAGTGTATCACTATTAAAATGTTACTGCAACTTCACAACCCAGTACTGTATGTCTGGTAAGAGAAGGTACAGTTTACCAGGAACAACAGGGCACTTGTAGTCCCAACACAATTCCGAGAACGGTGCCAGCGTAGCTGCCAAAAAAAACCCCAACCAAAACCAAACCAACCAACCCAGATGGGAACCCCTTAATTCTGTTTCTCATCATTCTTAACTCTCTCCTAGGTAAATCAACATCTGTTGTCTTGACTCTGTTGACCAGTGAGCATCTTTCATCCCCCATTCGCGACTGCGAGAAGCAGCATCACACAGCACACCGGTGATTCATGCAAGACGTGCACTTACATTCCTCTACTCATTTTAAAGGTAAACTTTTAACACCCCTCTCAAGCTTCCTGCATGGTTGCAGCATCCAGTACTTGCCAGTTCAGAAGCATCACTGGGAAAGAAGCCTGTCTTGCTTTAATTCGGCCAAGCTTTCAGATGAATGTTTTTTTTTTTAAAAAACACCTGTAACCTGCCTAAGACACACCAGTGATGACATTCTGGTCCCACTAATGGGGAACAGAAAAATTCTTTGCAGTTTCAGTAGTACCAAGAACATCGGAACATTATTTTTCAGATTCAGAGGTAATTCACAGGGGAATTAAGCAACAGGGCCACTGTCAGCGGCAGAGAAGTATATTCCTAAGTGTGGCATAAAGACACTGAACACTAGGCTGCGTAACAAAATACAGAAGTGTAGTCATATGTTTGAGTTACCACCTAACCATGGTTACACTGCTCAATTTAGGGTTAAACACGATGCATTATCCTTCAAGGAGAACCATTACTCAATAGTTTCACTATGTAGGCCTGGTTACTCTGTATAAACGATGCAGGCTTTACCAGCAACTATACCTTTGAAGAAGAAACTAAAGACTGATGAAAAGGAAACATCCTGCTCCAGAAGGCACCGAAGGCTGGATGATTGACAAAGCAGCATGAACTAGGGGAAAAGTAAAGGCGGCAGGGGGACATCACGACCACCAACTCAATTAAAGACCTAAAAGACTTACCCCCCCACTCCTTGAGCATGCGCTGTAGAATAAAAAAACACTGTACTTTTAATTTGAAGCAGAGAAAACCTTAGCCCAATAGAAATGGTGTCACATAAGTGACTACCAATAATGATTTTGGGGAAGGGCTTCGGTAACTACGTGGATCAACCTAAAACTGTATAAATTGCTTGCCTGTTTAACTGCAGGGTGTGCCAGCTCTGTGGAGTCACCCCCTGACACCCATCTCTGCGCAGACATGAAATAACAAATATCTCGGCTCTGTGTGTAAGATTGGCTCATTGCACACCGGGTACCAAACCCCACTTGGGGGGACAACAGAAAGATTTTAGAGTGGTTAAACTGCATGAAAACCTTGGATAGAGAAATGCAAATGCTTATTCTATGAACAAGATACAGATTTAAAAAAAATCTATTTGAGAGCTGTATAAACAGGAAAAATAATGTAAAAAGAATAGGCCCCAACAGAAATGTAACATGATACTATTTAAAGAGCAAGTAATAATGCAGAAATGTTAGTATAATTAAATTACTGTTTTAAGCTACTGCAAATATACAATGTATGGTATATATTCTGTTATCATTAAAATGCTGAATATTGGTTATGTCACTGGAAATCTTTACGCTCATCTCTTTAACGATTAACTGAGATGTTAGAGTATTTTCCTACAATGTAAGAAGTAGGATGAGAATTATGGCGACATGGATGTGTACAGTTCCAGATATAAACTGCACTGGAGAAAATGTGAAGTCCTTATCCCATTGTCAGACATGCTCTCAGAGCATTACTGTGTATCAAGACTGTATGTAGCAGTGCCACCTGGTGACCGATGCTATGACAAATTCCTCTTAAAATACTACGTAGCACAGAAATTTATTGTGTGATATAACCGAATTTTCCTTCTTTTTTAATGCGCATATTAAAGGTTACTGTTCCAAAGTTCAGTATGTGAAGTACAAAACTGACACTGAAATTTCCAATTTATAAATATAACAATATTTGTAATGTCAACACTAACAGAGTACTTGGAAATTATGGCACCTACACATATTGAACAGAAATGGTTCTCAAGTTAGGGCAGCCAGATCGTAATTAGCCATAAGAGGAAAATGCAGTACAGGGAAGAAGAAACCCCAAAGCACTAAAATTAGCCTTCATGGAAAAGATCAGCAATCTCGGATTCCTTACTTGCTCAATGACAAAGTCATAAATAATTAACAGACCTGTCCCAGTAACTCAGTTCAAATGGCAGGTCATTTCTCCACCTTCCTTCAGAAAAGCCTCAGAAACAAGAGTCAGAAGTCTTTCAAAGCATCCAGGACTGGGTATGAGGAGTGCTGAGCATCATGTCTTTAACACACATGCTTTCTCATGCACTTAAGCAACTCAAGGACCAAGAGTGGAACTGGGTAAGCATGTAGGGACAGTGCTGCATGGTAGAAGCAAAAGTAAAGGAAACATTTGGCCAAAACTGCACAGTGACAAGCAAATTCAGTTGTTTATGAGGTGACCAAGCATCAGGAAGCGAGGACTGTAGCAGCATACCATGCAAGCTCAACCCTGGTCGAAGCACTCGTTATGTCATGTACTGACCTGCACAGATCCAACTTACTAATTGAGTGAATGCCCAGTAAGCTAGCAGCCCAACCTGAAGTCATATAACATTTTACTAAAAATCTCTCTGGGAAATGAGCACTACCATGATCAACCACTGGGTAGGATAGAGGCTGCTGAAGTTTAAGTCCCTGCCCCTGCTGCAAAGGTTCTTGAGAGATGGAGCATTTTTTGCTGCAGGTAGATTAAATGACTCAGGCACTTTTGTGTGTTATTCTAGAACCTGCAAGGGCTAAACAGAAAAACCCTGCATGCCTCTGCAAAGGAGGGGAAATTACCCTCTCGTTATACCCACAGTTAAGAGGATAATAAAACATTCAAATACAACAGGGAACAGGGCAAGCAGGAAGAATAAACAACATTCTTCCTCTCCTCCAATTTATCATCTCTCTACCTTTGTTTTTAATGGGTCCAAGCTAATGTATCTTCAGGTGTTCAAATACAGTGCAAAGGCTTGAAAAGGGGAAGGTAAAAAATAGAGGGGGATTGGCTCACAGTGAACAACAAGGTTACATATCTTTAAAATGTGGTTAAAGAAAGGCAGTACAATTTTGTGGAAGCAGGAACAGAGACATGCTTTTACTTCTGCCACAACTAGACCAAAGTGTGCAGAAGCTAAATATATAAAACTAGTGCACAGACATGACTACAGCCACTTGTACACTCCTTCTGTGGGTCTTTCTCCATTTTTCTAAAAAACAGCTTTCTGGAAGTGGGCTGGTGTGTTTGAAACTAACCCCCCCCCCCCCCCCCCCCACAAATGGTGATGTGATGAAGACAACAGACAATCATTGCCAGGAGGTTCCTTCATCACTCCCTCCCTTGGGTTTGTTTACTGTGTAAGACCCTCCCCCCCCCCCCCCCCTCCCCTTCTCTGTTCCAGGCAAGTGTTGAAAAGAAAAATTGTTTACTTGACTCCTAAATACAGTTAAGGAAAGAAAACCTCTTGAATTCAATTTCCTGCAAAATTTCATTAATCTCATACATCCTCTGTCTTTTCCTTGTTCAATACAACACTTTGTCTAGCTGTAAGTAATTGATACAAATATTCCTTGCAGCCTGCAGTTATCCCTCAGCTCCTTGGTACCCCATCACAGAGGAAGACTGCATATGTCTGAACTTCATGCTAATTTAATAAGGCAAGAAGTTTAGTCATAGTCTAGTCCTGAACTTCACCCATTATAGTATTTATGAGACAGACTTTCATACAATAGGCTTAAAACAAAATACAGACCATCTTTATCTTTGTTACCTATATGTTTAATGACTGTTTGTGGACTTACAAAAATATTCATGTTATACAATTTAATATCAATCAACAAGTAGAATTAGAAACACACAAGGACTCCTGATTCTCTTTGAAAAGATCTCATTTCTGCACATAGAGACAAACAATTCAATGGCTTGTTTGAACATGTTAATATTGCTACCCTGCAAACTGTTAGGTTTTTAGTTTGGTTTTTTTAATAAAGTACTTAATTCTTCCATTACTCAGTATAAGAATTCCTACTGATAGCAATCAGGACAAATCTCAGAAGTTTGAGTACACAGCCAACTTTTAATCATGTCTCCTAGATGTCCATGAACACCTCCAAAAATTCTCAGACAGTAAACTGGTATAGCACACATGTCCAGGCATCTTCCAGCCAGCGTTACAACATGCTGGAGTTCAGGGACATTTCAAAGATACTCATTAATATTTCTAGAATATTTGACTTGACAAAATATAAGTTAGATTTTTCAAAGGCTGCCAACTTTCTCCTCTTGGTGACAGACCAAGCAAAAATGGTAACTGAACATTTCCTCAATACCTTCCAACATTTACTGAACTGTTGTTTCTAGAAGTTAAGACAAAATTAAATCTTCTTTTCCATCCAGTTCCAATGAAGGCACAAATGTTTCCACCTATATGAAGAACTTAAGTGCATTAGAACAAATGGGAAGTATTTGTAAGGCTCCAGCTCTACTAAAAAAAAAGAAGTATTCTTTTTCTGGAACTCTAGCATTGATGTAAACCAATTAATTCACTAAGCCAAAGCATGACAGTCTTTTCCAGTTGTAACAGCCTTACACTCCAACTTTTGCAAATTAAAAAAAAATAATCAGCTGCTTACATCACTTTCCACACACAGAGAGGGTTTTTTTTCCACTAAGTTCAGCCCCGAGCCCTTGTAGACAGACAAGGGAAAAGGCAAACGGGAAGTCTGTTGCCGAGACCATTGTGACATTCCATTGAGAAGGTCCCAGAAGAGAGCAATCAGCTCTCCCCAGCCACAAAGCAAACACCTCAGACTTCAGCAGCACAAAGGAAGTATCACCCAGATCAAGGGCAACAGCCCAAAATTTTTACTATCTTTTGTTAAAGCCAACACTGTTTCACTTTCTTGGGCTTCTAGGCAATTCCAAGTACTGTTTTTATGCACCATACATAATGGCCAAATGGGGGGGGGTGGGTGGGGTGTATATCTCCTTATTAAAAGGAATGCAGTATGCAGCCCGCACAGTGAGCTGCAGTTTATTTTCATGATGCAAAAAGGCAGGCATAACCTGTATCAATGAGTTTCGGCCAGCTTCTAAGAAAGTTAATAAAAAAAAAAAATGTAAGTGGGTTAGAAAGGTAGATGTTCTCACTTAAAAGGGGCCTGAAATCACTTGAGGATCTGTCCCAGCAAAACTGTTTCTCAGTGTCTACTATTCTGACGGTGCAACATAAACTTCAGTCTGCTTATCAGTATGAATCACCTCTCTTCACGTTTACTTGCTCTACTACACCACCAGCACATCTTGAAATGCAACAGTATTGTTTTTATTACATCCCACTGTATTAGCAGTTTGTGTTTGGTTTATGGAAAACTCAAGAAAAAAAACGACAACAAAAAAGAGAGCATGCAAGCACACTGGATTTATCACTTCCCTTTGGAAATGCACCCATAATCAAAGTCAAAATTTTGCTGGTTAGGACATTCTCCGAGTGCAAGCGTGCACAACACAGTCCAGTGGACTCCTGACACACAATACAACAAAAATCTTGCTGACTTTTAGTGTGGTCCTTTCTCTGATGTACTCAGCTAACACTCCAGCCTCAATTTTCAAGTTTCCTCTTGACTTTTCTAGTCCAGAGCTTGAAGTGAGGCAACTGCATCGATATTCTAATTTAATTAGAAAGCAGACTGCTGATCAAAACATCAAGCAGAGTGCCACAGATTAGAGTTGGATTAAATGCAAAGGCAAAAATATATTAAAATGCTTTTGAATTAAATTCACCTTTCTACCTTTATTTAAAATTATCCTCTGGGCTTCATTTCAGAGAACAAATTTTGGGTCTCCACAAAAGCTTAATGCATTAACTCAGTTTTTATAAGCCTAGCTGGTGGGAAATAAGTATTTGAAATAAACAAGCTGTTAGGACAAGTACATTCTGCAGTTATTAAAAGAAGACTGGAAGCCAGGTCCGCAAATACCTGCAACTAACTACTTGACATTGCTATTCTTCAAGAATAACTGTATGCTTGTTATGTGTAACTTCATATACTCCTTATACTTAATATTATTTGTTGCGTCCAAGCACATCTCAATTTTACAGACAAAAGTGTTACCATGGCATTTACACTTCTCTCAGTATTCCCACTCAATGTTTTCAGGTGTTTTTCTGTACTCCAGAGTTATGTGTAGTTTCTTACATACAGTTTCTTACTCTTGGATATTAGAAAGTCTACAGTGGTGCTTCTCCATACACATCCTGATCTGTTGCGTATCAAGATGAATAAAGCTGAACACATTTTCACAAGCACTGCAGAATTTGCTTCAAGTATTCAAAAGCAAAGGAATCTTCACAGCAATGCAAGGACGATGCTGACAAATACCTGTCAAAAAGACAGGGATACATACCTTGCTGAACAATGGCACTTTATTCCTTGTGCAGAATGAAAAGTTTACTTGATCTAAGTCTGTCCGAAATGTCAGTGTAAATAAGAGTTCTCTTCAAACTGTTTCAAGAACAGCTGCCATTTCCTTGAACTGTCTGAAGAAGTTCTAAAAAGCAAGAATTAATATAAATTTCAGTTGCTTGAAGAAAAGCTCAAACTGAGCATGTTAGACAAAAATCACAATCCATGTTTCTCACATGCCCTCTTTCCTCCAGCTACATTTGCAGCTTGAACTGAAAGCTTCTGCTTTTCCTTTTGTGGGCTGTTTGGCACTTGGGCACACTCACTACGGAATCTACACAGGTGATGCCTTATTTGCATGGGTTTGCCTATTAATAGGAGATGCTGCTATGAAAGAAAAATACAAAGTAGCTCTCACACCACAACAACAACAAAAAAACCAACAAAAAAAACCTTCTCACACAAATGTTTCTATTCCCAGCTGAAATAACCCAGGCTTCTCAAGTATAGCATCCATTTCTTACAGTAGTTAATCAGCAAATTATTAAATAGGTTTCAGCCAGAATTAATACAACATATCACACCTAAGGATTCAGAATATCCTTCTCAAATTCCTGCCATCCACTTCCAAGGATTTATTTCTTTGTAAACTTGTACGATATTCTAAGTGATGTATCTATTCGCCCTTTAAACAGGAATGACAACAGAAGTGCCACATTTATGCAAAATTAAACAAAGTTACATAAGTTCATAGATGAAAGCATAGCAATTAAGAGCCAATGGTTACAACGCAAACTGACCTCCATTGCTTAGCCCAAGTTTTAGATTTTGAGGCTGGGGAACAGTTCTATAGATTTAAAACATTCCATGCGTTTTTAACAAGGCAGAGTGACAGCTGACAAGACAGATCCAAAAGTCTTTACATCTTCAGTTGTTATCTTATTTGTAAGATAACAGATTAATTACTGCTAAATTAACATTTTTGGATAAGTGATGTAGAACCGAATGCTATGAAGTATTTAGCTTCAGTATTTTAAATAATTATTTCATGCTTCATCTTTGAATGACTGTATTAGTAAGCAACAAAGACATATTCATCAAGGTATACAGTTGCTCCTTCACAATGTCACCATTGTTTTTAAGGGACTGAATCAAGTAACACTGATTACAGACCTTGAACTGTGGGACCGTCATTTCAAAAGATTTGTCTGTTATTTGTCCAGAAGGGTCTGCCACCTTTAGTGTCACTGTAACATAAGGATACTTCAGAGACCTGCAGGTGTCAGAGCTCATTGCAACTCCCAGTTTCCATTTAATGTCTACAAACTACAAAGAAGAAAAACATTGGAAACAGTGTTAAAGAAAGAGATCAAACCTACCATTGCTATTCTATTGGATGGGTATTTTACAGACAATATAGGACATCTAGAGCTCATATCCAAATGGGAAACAAACATACACATTCAGATATTATTGCAAATACAAAAATCATCTGTCCTTCAATAGTGAAAAAATTAGCAATGTTAATTTGTCTTCCTTATTCAAGTACTGTCAACAGCCAAGTACAGTCTATTTAAAGTTCCAGTAAGAGGACCTTGAGCCACAAGGTTCACCTGGCTTGTATATCATTCATGCTTTTGACTTTTTGTTTTTAATTTTCTAAATCAAGTGGAAACATGAGAAAAACCTCAGTGCACAAAAATTTTATAATAGCAATAATGGAAAAAACCAAGACATTTCATAACTATTTTAGATAAACCAAAGTACACCATAAATATGTTTCAGACAGGTAAGTTACCATTTTTAGCCTTTTATGATAGGCAGAACTGTTGAATAAAGAAGTGAAGAGAGCCTTTAGAAGCTTACTATCAAGCCTCAGAGAAAGATTTTTTTTTTCCTAATTCTGTTCTCTTTTAAAACTCTTGTTAGAAAAAAAAGATCTTAAAATGCAAATACACTGTGTTATTTTTTCAAAAAGGAAAAAAAAGAATGCTGGAAACTGACAGAATGTATCTTTTAAAAAGTTAAATTTAAGGGAGACAATGAATAAAACAATCAAGTGCTAGTGTTATCAACTCTAGAACAATTCAAATTACATTTAAAACAGATTTACGTAAACAGCCAATACAATTGTCTGCCACACTGACTGCCACTCACCTTGCCTAATAGTACTATGAAGCACTAATTTTTAAAGAGGTATGAAATGTGACTTCATCATCCAAAAAATATCAGACAACTGTTCAGCATTTATTCAACCTTTATTGTATATGCTTCTTTATCTGGGTGGACATTTGGCAACACATATATACATATAGGAAAGCTTTCATCAGTCAAGATAACACCGTGTGCTTGACAATACAACATACACAACGAAGCACTGACATTTATGAAAAGTTAATAGTTAGCTCAACTGCACTTTGTCATTTAGTTACCTGCCCCACTGTGGCTGTATTTCTTGCATCTTCTGACACACTAATGGATTTGCCCTGTTCATTCCATACATGACGAATAACTTGAACGGCATGTTTTGGCAGCACGCTGACTGTGTTGCCCAAGGCAGTGACGAGTTCCTCTGTAGAGAGATTGCTTCTGGCTGCTGTACTATAGGTATATCCAAAGAACACCGCATCAGTTCCATTCTCCACAATTTTAATAAAATTTTTCACTACACCCCAAACAGGCATTTTTAAATTTTTGCTTTATGTGTCTATGCACTTTACAATAATTAGGCAGCCTGTGATTTTTTTTCCCCAGAATATTTTACTAATCTTTTGTATCCACATGCAAAGAGCAACATGACCTGACTTCTAATGTGTCTTAATATGCAGAGAGAAAGCTTCACTGGGCTTGCACAACACACAACATTAAAACAAAAATAATCACAGCCTCCAAGTGCTGTTGCAACTGAAAAAAGGTATAATTCAGTGAAAGATGTGTGCATAGGGCAGTTAAATGATATTATTACTTTAGAAACAAGGCCGTTTAATTAAACATTTAGGAAAGGTAATTTAAGTACCACCAAAAGGCAAGTAAGGACTCTAGGTAATGGTATAATTGGTACTAAGAGGAGTCAAATGATGCAATAAACCCTCAGCTGAAAAGGCAGCAAGTCTAGAGGAAAATTGCCCTTCGATTTCCTCTACAGAATAGGTTAAAAAAAAATTCCCACCCTAGGTTTCTTCATGCACATCCACTCCTCTTAAAGAGACATTAATAAAAGAGAAAAAGAGTTGGTCCTCCAAGTAGCATGGTCTAATATAATTTAATGCTTTATATTTTATAGTGGAAAAATTAGTGTGTTAAATTTCTACTGGTATATTTTCTTCAGTCATATTAATGTTACATAAAATGTTCAGATACTAGATATTAAAAGAACAAGCAAGATCTTGAAAATTTTATCTTTCTGAAAAGAGAAAAACTTACAGCAAAACAACAGCTGAAAATGCTACCTAAAATCTCTATCACAGCAAAGTTCAACATTATAAAACTGTGTGCCCTTTAAACAGGCACAAATGCTGGTTTCTAATCTTTAAGAAACAAGAAGTTTTTAGACCATGTTTCTTCCAGGCAAAGGGCTAGCTGACTTAGCTTTAGAGGTGAACTTAACTTCCTCTTTTATTTTGCCAGTAGTTCTAAAGCTTGCAGACAGGATCTTGGAGCAATTTCCTCTCTTTAGTTTTTCTATTACAAAAAGTAAGACAATATATTAAGTATTTTTTTAATTTTTTAAGAACATAAACTAAGCCCAGAAGTTCTTTTTTGTGTACTGAGAGTTACAAACTTCTGCCCTTTTCCCAAATCAGTTCATTTTATACACACATTTGATGTCACTTTTTAATACCACTGTTAAGTTGTGGTGGAGGGAAAAAAGACATGAGGGAAAATTATTTTGTGCTTACCTAAATAGAAAGGAAACAATGTTAGCTATTTTTGCCAGGTCACCAACATTAATCTCAATCCCGGATGTTTGAATTCTCTGGAAACAGAAAGTTCAAACAATTACAAATAATAGTAAGTTATGCATTAATAAAAACCTCTTTGTGTGTATATATATACACACACAAAAATTGACTTGGGGAATCTATCCTTTACAGCATATACAACTAATATACTTGCTTGTAAGTGCCAGTATCCAAACTTACCTGACACAATTCAGTTGTATTTACACCTGGGATCTTATGGTTCAGATGTTGAATTATTTGTTCGCACTGTAAAGAAAGTTTGAAAACATTCTTAATGCATATTTTATTATACAAGACAAAGCTAGCTTGAATACCTGGAGATTACTAAACAAAAAGCAAAAGTGGTTAATGCAAAAATGGACAACAGGAGGATGCTTTAAATGCAGAGTGAAGAATAAAGTCATTGAAATGTCTGATTTTAAAATTACAGCAAATCCAAGAAAAGGAAATAAACTCAGGCAAGACTTTTAGTTGCTAGCTCACTAGCTATTCCTACATAACACACCATCTTCATACTAATTGAACAGTCATTCTGTTCAAGTGCACACTACAGTAAACAAGCTGAACGTTTTCTAGACAAGCTAGCTTGGTATTTCATTTAGATGCAAGGCAAAACACATTTTTAAAAGTCTTCTGTGATAAAAACATAAATTTAAAGCAATCCCATTGCTCTTAGCAGGACTGGTCCATTTTATAAGTCATGTAAATCTAAGCTACCAGATACATAAGATTCCCTTTGCAACAGATAAAAACCAGCAGAGCTTAAAAAAATAAGGTTTCCTAGAATCAAAGGGTGCCAGAAGCCCTTCCATATCCCATTTATTGCTCTACTTACCAGTTCTGCAAAAAAGTCTTGAGGTATTAAAGTAATCTTATCTGCTACACCACCAACATCTGAAAAACACAAGCAGTAGCGACCAGAAACAAATCCTTAAAGTGTTATGGTAATAAATCTAATCCCTCTCTGAAGAGCTCCTATGTCACGAGCCATACATTTTCCTTAAAAGCAAAGCTTTCTTTAAGGGAGTTTGTCCTGAATGGCATTAACATAACCTGCTCAGCACCCAGGTAAGCCTAACAGGAGCGACTCCACAAGGCCTCCGAGCCCCAGACCGAGTCTGTGCAACTGCAGTTTGACAGCCCTGAGTAACTCCCCCACCTCTGCGGAGCTGTATCCGCACCAAGTCCCTCAGCTGACCGGGAGGCCGGGCGGGCATGCCCAGGGCTGTCCTCCGCCACCAGCAGCACAGAACCGCTGCTCTCCCCAAGGCTACGCTGCTGCACCCAGGCCGCCTGGCCCCGGCGAAGCCCCCAGGCGGCCCGCGGACAGCCGGGAAGACCCCCTCTGGCCCACCACAAGCCTTCTCCCTGTCCCACCGGGAACGGCTCACCCCGGCGCCTGGGTGAGGTGGCTCCGGGGGGCAGGGGGGGCGGCCGGCCCCGCGCCCCTCCACACCCCACCCTGCGGGCGCGGGTGGGCCCAGCTCCCGCCCAGGTTCCCCTCAGCTCCCCTCCGCCCCCACACCGGGGTGTCGTCCCCCCCTGCCCCTCACCCAGCGCCTCCAGCGCCCGCGCTAGCACCGCCGCGGAACCGGCGGCCATGGCGCCGCGCACGCGCCGAGGCCCGACTTCCGCCACACAAGGCTCGCCGCCCTGATTGGCTCCGGGCGTTACCAGAGCGAGGCAGGGCCAGCGGCCCTGCCCTTATTGGCTACCGGGCAGGGAGCATGCGCTCTTCTTCCCTGGGGGAGGGCGGAGCCGCCTACCCCTACGCTGTGGGTCCCGCTGGGAGGGTTTTGGGTGTTTTGTCCTTGTCGAAATAAATCGTCTTTTAAATAGACGCAAGTAAAACGGGGACTGCGTTTTAGGAGAGTCTCGGGTCTGCAGTCGTCGGGTAGAAAAGGCCACCGGCGGGCGGTGGCTGAGGACCTGCCCGCGCTCTCCCTCCCGCTGGAGGCCCGGGGGGGGGGGGGTTGGGAAATGGCGCTGGCGTGGGAGGCCCCGGGGAGGCTTTGGGAAAGGCCTCTCGTTCAAGGCGCACCTGGTTTGCGCAACGAGCGGTTGACCGAGTTTGGTTCGCGAACTGGCGTCAGGGCCGTCACGCTCAGGCGTGCCTGCCGCACGCTGAGCTTCGCGCGGATACACCGAGCGACCGTACTCTGTGGAGGTGGACTGTGGGGTCGGCCTGTACACCTGCAAATGAACTGTGCAGTTCATGGATGATCCGCGTAGATAAGCCGTTGTCTTCGGTTTTATGGGAAAAGAGCCGGTTTTTGTAAAGCTACAGCTAGAACCATGTTCAGTAAGCTTTTCATACTGAACTGAATTAAGGTTGGGGTGTGGTTGGAGCCCTCAAACGATACTGATCCTTCACCAGTTTTGCCTTTTAAAAATAGAAAATATTCTTAGGTTTCTCTAGTAATCAGTTTGACATTTGCTTTTAGCTTTTTTTTAAATGATGTTACAATCTAAGTAGATCTATTGTAAGACTGTGACAGAGCAGTAATACATAACTTGTCATGTCGTTAGTGCTGGCTAGTTTAAAATTACATCTTTTCAGTAAATGTTTATGAAAGAATTCAGAATATATTTCAGGAAAGGGGTAATTATTAGGGAACATGGTGTGTGTTTATGAGCTTTATACATTTATGGCCTGTCTGATCTTGGCCTCTCCCTTTTAAAGTATCTAATTAAGTCCGTGAATGTTTCTGAGTAGTATGTGTTTTTATGACCTCATGATTATCAAAACACTAGCAACGTACATACTGGTAAGATCTGTCTCTGATACCAAGGTCTTGACTTAATCTGTTTGTTCTTAACTTAGCTAACTATTACATACTTCGCTATCTAGAGAACTTTACATATTCTTTTATATTACAGTTTCATCAAGTCTCTTAGTAGTGGCTTTAGCACTATGACTAATGTTCGTTATGTTACTTTTGATTCTTTCTCCAAGATGGGGAGGTAGATGTGAAGTTGAATATCTTGGTGGTTTGATAATTACAATATCATTTGCTGAAATTTTAGAGTTATTTCGGGGTTATTTTCATCAACATGTAAACATGCATTTCGTTCTTTGAATTTGGAACAGAAGGTGGTGAAGTATGGAACAATCTCGGCTTGTCTGCCCATCCACAGAATTAAACTGTACCTTTAGAAAATTCTGCCTTCTCTAAATGTGTTCTCTGAAGCTTTTAGTAGCAGAGGAAGGTAGATGCAGACTGACCGTGATCTGACAGTACAGGCCCATCTTTTAGCTAGATGAGGACTGAGAACTTAATATGAGGAGACACTTGGTATAGAAACTAGAAGACAAATCTCATGAGCTACGAGTAGACTGGATTGCTGAAGAGATATGCTACAGTACTGTTGATAGGTCAATACAGAAGCTTCAGGCACAGCCATGTAGCATCACCGTAGTCCTGCTAAGTGATTACAGGGGGTAAAATAAAAACATCATTAGGTAATTTACTCCATTTCATAAACTTAACATTTACAGAACGGGGTGTGATTTGCATCAATGCTCTCTAAAAAGCTACACCAAGTTATTCAGCAAAGCTCTTCAGGCAGACAGGAGAAAGTGTATCTGCTACCTGGGTTTCTCCAGTGCCTGGGCCCTCAACTGTATGGTGTCCCCAACACCCTGCCTTTCTGGCCGCCTGTCTCTTTGGTAGTCCTGTCTCTACAGTACCTAGAAACACTGTTTGCTCGTATTACGTATTATTCTCCTTCCTTCTCTCATGGGACTCTGATTTCCCTGTAAACTGGCACAGTTTCTATCTTTCCTGTGCCCTTTCTGCTCAGACGTGCCTAGCTCTGCCCTAGATGTACGTGCATGCTCAACCACCTCCTTCCCGCTGCCCCAGGTCTTTCTGGACACTTGCAGGGCGGGCCCAGAGGTCCCACTGATGGGCTTCTACAAAAACCTTGTCCAAATGCCCGCTTCTGAAGACGCAGGGCCCAGTGCAAGTGGCGCACAGGGCTGCGTAGGTCAGCTGCAGTCTGTAGAGAGTGGTGGCAGCAGCAGCTGGGGAGGGCTGGGGCCAAAAAAGGACAGGTTCCTTCATTTTTAGCTTTTCTGAATTAACCTGAAAGAAGGCATAACACTAAATGTGGAATGAATATGTGTATATATAAAAACGTCTTACTACGTTCCATGTGATGTGTACAGATTACACTCTGCTTGATCTTAGCCAAAAGGCCAAGAACTGGTGCGTTTGCGCTCCTGAGACGGGAAAGTTATGAGGGGGCTCGCAGCTGTAGAAGAGAAGCGCTGTTTTTGATGGGGTTTAACGCCTCCTACAGTGATTTTCGGCAGATCACGCGTGCACCTGGCCACCTGCGTCCTGGCTGCTACACGCCCTGAAGCCTTCACTGCCCGCCGCTTCCCGGTTCCCTCCGGATCCCTTTGTCCCGCCTCGCTGCCTGGTCCGTCCCGTTCCCACGGCTGCGTTTTCCTGAACGCTGCCTGTACCTCCCGGCCGGTGAGCGGCTGGAGGCCGTTTCGGAGGGGCCCGGCCGTCCGCCGCCTTCCCGTCAGCCCCCGGTTCCCGCCCGAGGGCCGGCAGCGGGCTCTGGCCTTCCCGGCGCGGGGGCGGCGGGGCGCCCCCTGGCGGCTCCCGCGCACCACGCAGGCCCCGATGGTTGGGAGCAAGCGCGGGGCGGGGCGGCAGAGGCAGCACCCCTTGCCCCGTTGGGAGAGTCCATTGCCGGGGGGAGCCAAAAGGGGGGGGGCGGTTAGGGGGGAAATCTTCCGGCCGCCGGTCCCCGGGAGCACCTAGGGGGAAGGCGTTCATCGCCGCGTCTGCCGCCTCGGCCCGCCGCTCCGGAGCGGGGCAGAAGTGTGCCTGGGGGCGCCGGAGCGTTGGTTTCTTCTCCCCCCCCCCCCCCCCTTTCCCGCGTGGCTCGGTGGTGCGGTCCCGGGTCAGGTCTGAGGCGAGGCGGCGCGAGGCGCTGTCAGTGCCGCGGTGCGAGGTTCAGCCCAGCGCCGGTACCAGGAGCCGCCCCCGCCATGGAGCCCCATCGCTGGCTGCCCCTGGAGGCCAACCCCGACGTGAGTACCCGGCTTCGGAGGGCAGCTGCCGGGTGCGCGGGAGGGCTGCCTGCCTGCCTGCCTGGCTGCTGGAGGGAGGGAGGGAGGGAGGGAGGGAGGGAGGGTGGCGGAGAGGAGAGGGCTCGGGGCCGCTCCGGCCTCAGCGTCGCGGGCTGAGGGATGGCTGGGGGGGGCAGGGAACGGGGGAAGTCTTAGCCCGCGGATCTAACTGGGGTCCTGTGCTTTCTTTTCAGGTCACGAATCAGGTAAGCAGCTTTTGATTGAGGTAAGCTTTAGCCTCTCTGCAGGTTTAGGCCCATCTCCTTTCATTTTCATGTAGTAAAGGCTCCTGCTTCTCCAACGAGAGTAACCCTTTCCTCCCCCACGGGTGTCTGCACTCAGTCTTCTAATATTGGACCGTACTGGAACCTCCTCTGAAACCTCCGAGTACATAGTGTCATGTAAAGATACTATATTAAGGAAAAAACAGTAAAGGAAAAGAGAATAGGTGTGGTCTGGCTACTAATGTAATCTCTGATGTGTTTCAAGGTGAGTTTTAACCCATGAATTAATGATTAAAACATTATTATATATTTATATGTAACCTGTGCCAGTTCTGGACCTGTACATGATGGCTTTGTGTACTTGTATGGATCTGCTTACATCAGTGTCGCAGTCTCTTTCCTCTTTGGCTCACCATAAGAAATAATGTCATTTTACCGTATTTGCACTTGGCTGCTTATTCATGACAATATCTGCACGATTTGTTGTTGCTTGTTTTGTTAGCGTAGTAGCATCGACACTAGAAGAAGGAAGCTTGTTCTAGTTTACAAAACAATGTCAGCACTAGATAAACTCTAGCTGAAGGGAAAACACACATACTCCAACCCTGCATCATGTTCTCAGTGATAATTTTGAGTATCTTTAACAAGCATTAGAGGTCAGATGTTGATCCCAGCAGGCCTGTTGATAATGTTAAGGATGGTGCTTAAGCCAAAAGACTCCAAAGCTTCCAGCAGTAAGATGACATTCTTAAAACTATACTGTTGAAACATTTTGGAAATCAGGAATTTCTATGTGTGAAGAATGTATTTTTTTGTTGTTGTTGCTGTAATATACTAACTGTGTCTGCAGGAGAGTGAAGGGTTATTTGATGGTGGATCATTTTGTACTTGGCTTTCTAGTTTCCTAGGACAAATAATTTCACAATTCTAACAGTATTGCTGCTGCAATTTCAGAAGTTTTGAATCCCAGTCCTGGGTTAAAATTAACAACATTTCTGGGAGCTTTTCTTGAATGTGTGCTATAATTTCATCATGGTTTAGATTTTCTTTAAATTTTGAAATTCAGACACTAAATTCCAGTTTGGAAGAAAATAAGTGTGAATAAATTACTAGTAGATTTGCAAATTCTCTAACTTCTTCTCATTTTCCAGATGTTGAGATGAACTCATCATGCTACAATAAAGTCCTGTCAGCTGTAAAGTAGAAATTCAGGAGGAAAAACTAGTGGCTTTTTTTTATCTGAATTATCTTGTATCACTACATGTTTATATTTTATGAAGAAAATCCTAGAAGAACATTAAATGAACAGTTCTAAGTGTGTTCAGAATCTGTCTCTCTTGCTCATTGGCTTTGCACTGATGATGGATGATATCTATCTATTGTGGATGATCATGGATTATAAGAGTATGTTCTGTCAAGGATTTTCTTGTTAATATTTCTGTACAGAAAAGGCCACTTTAGACCAGTTAGACTTCTTCCCTCACTATATTTTGCCAGTCTTAACTGAGCAGTAGTTGTTATTCTCCAGGCTGAGAGGTGTATATTTAAAAAAAAAAAAAAAAAAAAAGAAAAAATGGCTAGTGTTAAATATGAATACACCTTGCATTATTAGTCATTGCTCTTTTAATCTCATCAGTACAGTGGTAAACTATAACAACAGGGCTGTTAGTCACAAGTTATTCATATCCTGCTTATGTTCAAAATAACAATAATAGTAATTTGAGATTCAAATGAAGCTGCAAACGCATTTTTAGAAAATCCTGTTGAATTAATTGCAAGGACAGACTTTTTTTTGTGGTTCTCTGTGCTGTGCTCTGTAAAATACTCTGGAATTCTTCAGGATTAAAAAAAAAAAAACAACAACAATGGTGTGCCCCTAATAGCTGTAATATATGTGTCTAGTAGTAGTTTAGTACATATATCTCTTTACACAGACATTTAGCCATGTGTTTCTTGGTAGGTTTTTTTTTTTTAATTGTATTTTATTTGTTTTACTTGGGTGTTAAACTATCCTTGGAACATACTACTTCTGTTAATGTTATTGCTAGATGAGGTAGTGAACTCTTAAAACCAAAAAAAATTCCAGTCACCTATAAGATGCATGTATTCTTAACTCATAGATTGTAGTCAGAACTGTCATTATGATTTAACAAATGCTTAGTCTATTTTGGTTATTGTACTGATCATTTTATTCCCTTTTTTAATAGTAACTAGAAAGAAAATGTACTGAAGGCAGGTACATTTGCTTTTAATATGTTCTTACCATAGTGTGTGCTCTCTAGTTTTGAAATGTAAGTTGTAAATTTGATACTCTTTCAATCTTTGTGGTAGAAATTCAGATGATAATGGAGGAGAACTGGTATTTCTCAGTTATAGGGTATGTGAAATCTTTCCAAAGTATCTTGAAAGCTTTTCTCTATCTGAAAGCATTCATTTTATAATACAAGTCTCGGAATTTCTAAATCATTAGTGTATATAGGACCTCTCTTTGTGCACATGTGTTGGAATTATTTAAAGGCCAGAAACTGGCTGGCGAGGATAACAGGAATATTCTTTCTTAGCTTTAAAGATTTCCAATGGCAGTGACTCGCTTTGAATACCACAGCCATGTATCTGTAGTACTGTTTTTAAGAGAGAAGTCAGCGTAGTTAAATGTACCATGCAGTGCTAATTTAATTGTTGCAATGCTTTTTTTCCCCCTCCACTTCTACAGTCTGACAGAATGAATTGTTAGTCCACCTCTGATACAGAGAGAGTTGATGATTCAGCATTTACAAATCTGCACTTTGTGTACAGTGATGACAGGGAATGGTTTCTTCTCTTTGACCTTCAGCTGGAGGGCCTGACGTGACCAGAGCTACCCTTCTAACTGAATTTCTTATGAGACTCTCCCCACTAATGGGAGAGAGAAAGCAAGAAATTGCAAGAAAATGGGGTTTATCTGCCCACTGTTTACCAGATGGTGTTTGGCTATGTATCTTGTTCTCAATTTCTTCTACCACCAAAAAAAAAAAAAGTCAGACTGCATACAGATTTTGGGAGTGAAAAGATCAGACACAGGCTGATTGTTCTCTATCATGATGTCGCTTCAGTCTGGCTTGCGATCCACAATTGATTCCCTAGCAAGCCTAGCTAAACAAAGAAGTAGTATTGGTGGATATCTTTCTTGATCTCCCCACCTTTCTTCATTCTCTCTTACCATTCTTCATCTCACACGTTCTTCCTAGATAAGGTACCACGTCAACTCATGCCTTCGTTATATCCATAAGGATAGAGTAATTGACTGCATCTGATTATAAAGCTCAAGCACTGGCTTCAGGTAGTTCAGAGTTAAACTACTGAGTGTTGGCTGTGGCTTGGGTTTCTCTTGCCATGTAGGGCTTACTTGCCAGTTCTTAGTTACCTTCCAGCATTATTTTCAGGTCTTTGATCCTACTTTTTCTCTCTCTCTCTCTTTCTTTTTTTTTTTTTTTTTTTTTTTTTAAGCCATTAAGGTACTGAGAGTCAGCTACATAAAGAAATTCATTTTAGTCCATGGATGCCCTTGACAGCTGTGCCTTTAAAGTTACAGGGGCAATAAAGATCACAAAACATAGAACAAATGGCAGAAACTGGATACAGCCAGCCTTCACCCAGTTATGGAACACATTTCTAAAGGGTGTCAGGCAAATACAGGGATTAATTAAGTATCTCAAGGAAGCAAATGTTACTCTTCCTAAAAGGTCTTTCCATTTTATGAACTCTACAACACTATCACACAGGCTTTCCCAGAAGAAAGCCCTACCGATCAAAGTAATTGAAAAGGCAGTGCCCGCAATTCCTGAAGTGTGTTGGGTGGTAGTACTCAAAGATGAGTTACTGTCTTGGAGTGAAAGGATGTCAGATGTGAAGGAACAGAGATGTCCTTCTGAAAATGATTAGCTAAGCTGTTTTTTTAGTTGGGGGGTGGGGGAGTGGAGTTTAACTTTTCTGTTGTAAGCAGAGTGGAAACAGTGTGTGCATGCTTGGAAGACAGCCTGTTGTTAGGAGTGTAGCCTCAGAAGGTGGAAGACCAGGACTTAGTTTGTGTCTTTCTGTAAAGAGAATAGCCCAGAAAGCCTTCCACAGAGCCAACAAAGGGGAAGTGTTGAGGCTGTGGCACAGCATAGCAAAGAATAAACACAAGGACAAATACGAAGGGATTGCATATGTCCACTGTGAGATCACTTGTTGAATGGCTTCCTCTAGTTTAAAATATTTCAAGCTATATAGACCTCTTATTGAGTGTAAATAGGTAGGTATGTTGCAAAGGGAAAATTGTAACTTGTTTTGGGGTTTAAAGCATTATTTATATCAACAGTTGAAAGATTGACTTAGATCTGCCTTTGTACGTTTCTCAGTAACTGAAAGCTAAGAAAACGATGTGTTTCATTCCTCTATTTGTACTTGCCACTTCTGGCTTTTTATTAAGCTCTTTTTTGCTCAGTTTCTTATTTCTGTTTCAATGACAACTAAAAATTGTAACAAGGAAACCCTTACTGTCTCGAACCCTGTTTAAGTGGATGGGGTGCTACGGAGTGGAAAGCAAGTGGTAGTGGTTCATGTGGTAGGTTATCTTGTTGCACTGAAGATGCCATTCCTTGCTTCCAGGTTTTCCTTGGTGTAAAGGACCAGTAGAATCCAATTGTTGCTTTAGTACACTGTAAAAATACTATGTATAACAGCTTATTTGGAAGAATGGATTGATCCGGCTCATGCCCGTTATGAATAATTGTTTAGATCATAGAAACAGGTCTCTAAGTGTTTTTCACAGCATAACGTGGTGTCCTGTTTTGAACCAGTGGCTCAGTAGCTGCACCTTGGGACTCTGTTCGGAGCATTCTAAAGTTCTTCCTCACTGGGGCAGTTTCAGAGGAAGCCTGGGTCAGCTGGTTAGTCCAGCTTTCCGTGCGCTTTGCATTGCTGCCTGTGTGATGTCCTGGTTCAATATATACGGCAGTGCC